GGTTCTTTTGCCCCAGAGGAGCTGGCTTCCACCCCCCCCCCTGGGCTGGGAAGAGGTGATTAATGGCGGGGAGGCAGGAGGCCAGAGTTCAGGGCTGGTGTCGGTATTCATCAGCAGGGTCCCCAGCCAGGGCTCGGATTCAGCTGGGGCCCTGTGTGTGCAGGGAGTGAGGGGACACCGAGGACCAGGAGTCCTCCCCACAGTGCTCCCCAACACCCCTCCTGCCCCTGCCCCAATTTCTCTGGAAGTCCCTCCTGCTGTGTCCTGCGCCTTTGGGGGGGGGCCAGATCCTCAAGTCCAAGTCCTCCCCGGGTGTGGGGGTGGGGCAGGCCACCCCCTCCCCCAAGCCCCTTCCTGCGGGCCACGGGGCGGGCGAGCACATTAGGTGAGTCCCGGGCTGTGGGCCCAGCTAATTGCCTCTCAGCCTTCCCTTCATCGCCAGGGCAGCCCCCCACGAGCTCCATTAGCCCCCCTCCCCTGATAGCCCCTAAATCAGCCCCAATTATTCACAGGAGTGGGGGGGGGCCTGGATTGAACTGTGATTACAGCGAGAGCAGAGGGGGAGGGGACGGGAACCTGAGTGCCAGGCCGGCTGGCGGGCAGAGGGCGAGCGGAGAGGCCGGGCCGGGGCCTGTGGGCAGGTCCAGACCAGGGACCACCCAGGGGCAGGGGCCTGGGAGCCTGAAATGGCAGGCCAGTGTGTGGGGGGGCAGCTAGGGGCGCTGGTTGTACTGCTGGGACCTCGCAGGGTGAGGGAGGGGATCAGACGGGCCTGGCCCCGGGAGCGGTTCCACCTCCCCATCAGCAGCAGCAGCAGCAGCAGCATGGCCTGCCAGGACCACAGCCCCTTCTCAAGACCACAGTCATCTTTTAAAACCTAAGTTGGACTGTGTCCCTGCTCTTCTCAGACCCCTGCAAGGGCACCCCATCGCACACAGAGCAGAATCTAACAGGCTCACGAGGGTCTCAGAGGCCTGGCAGGGCCCCCACCCCCGACCCTTACACCTCCGTCTGTAATGTCTGCCATGGGCTCCTCCCTACACCCTGCAAAGTCCCCATCGATCTCCTGCCAACAGCACATTGGGTGAGTCCCAGGCTGGGGGCACGAGCTCTGGCCTCCGGGCGGCTGTGTTTGCTGTTCCATCTGCCTGGGATGCTTTTCCTCTGAAATCTTCGACTCTCCACCTCTCCTCCTTTAGGTTTTCACCTGGAGGTACCTTTTCTGTAAGAACTTCTGTGAACATCTGCCCAGAACTACAACCTGGTATTCCCTGTCCCCTTCCATTCCCTCTCTCTTCTTTTTTGGAACTGGGATTGAACCCAGGGGTGCTTTACCACTGAGTCACATCCCCAGTCCTTTTAATTTTTTACAGGATCTCATTAGGTCACTGAGGCTGGCCTCAAACTTGAGATCCTCCTGCCTTAGCCTCCCAAATCTCTGGGAGGCATATACCACTGTGCCCAACTGTTTTTCTCTATTTTTGGTGATAGTACTTTTTATCATCTTATATATAATTACAATTTTACTGATTTAGTTTCTTTGTCATCCCTTCACTACCACCCCACTAGAATCTAAGTATCATTAAAACAAAACAAAACCATGTAGTGGACTGAACCCAGGGCATCACACATGCTAAGCAAGTGCTCTACCCCTGAGCCACACCGCCAGTCCTAGACAGAAACTTTGTCTTTGTCTTTTTTCTTTTTTAACAGCTGTTGTTCCAAAGCCTAAACATCGTAGGCGCTCAATAAATCTTTATTCAGTGAATGAGTGAACAATTCCCTTTTCTCTGGATCAGTCTGTTAGTTCCTTCAGGGCAGGGAACTTTAAATCACTGACTAAATAAGTCACTAGGTATAAAGTTTTTAGAAGCTGGGCTTAGTGGCACATGCCTACCATCCCAGCTAGTTGGAGAGGAGGCAGGAGGATCAGGAGCTCCAGGCCAGCCCCAGCAATTTACAAGACCCTGTCTCAAAATAAAAAATAAGAAACAAGGGCTAGACATGTAGCTCCCTTAGACAGACCCCTGGGCTCAGTGCCCCCAAGGGAAGGGCTTAGACTCCTGCCTAGTAATCAGTTCATTCATTCAGCCTAGTTGCTAGCAATGTCGTCAGCACCACCACTTTCTCTATGTCCTGGGCACTAGGTCAACACAAAAGGGTGGGGACCTTGGGCCCCTTCTGCCTTCCTGGGGGACCTCGGGAAGGTTAGCCATAGGGGTGGGCCTTGGAGGCAGGGCTGGGGTGCACCAGTCACCCTGGGTCCCTTAAGGTTGACTTAGCATTTCATTTGTGTCAAGGTCTGGGAGCACAGAGATGCCTGCTGCCGGGTCCCATCCTTGAAGAGCTCCAGAGCCCCGTGGGGGCGGGGGCCAGCGTTAGCTTGGCATCAGCTGGAGTGGGAGGCCAGGCTGTCAGAGAATGGGCGTGGAGCTGAATGCCGAAGGGTGAGAATTTGGAGCCAGGTGAAGGAGGGAAAAGGTGCACGCTCCTCTGCTCTGGGCTTCAGCCTCCTCATTGGCTCCTCAGGGCTGGATGAGGTGACTTTCAGGCCCCTCGGGCTTCAACAGGCTGAAATTCTGTGATCTTTGGCCTCCAGCCTTTGAGCTGTGCGCTGGTTTCTGCTGCCCCCTGCTGGAGATTCTTGGTAGCACTGAAGTCGCGAAAAGCAACCTTGAAGCTTTGTCTTTCTTCCTTTTCTTCCCCCAAACCATCAGCACCCAAGGGTCCCATGCAATCCCCGGCTCCCACACACCTCCCACCCCTTTAAGTAACAACTAAACAAGAGTGCTCGTCTCTCAAGTGGAAATTGCCCAGAAAAAGATATTTTCAGTGAATATTATAGGCGAAGGATCTGAAACTAGAACACGTAAAAAATTCAAAACTGTCATGACCCAGGAATCTCGTTCCTGAGCATCCTCCGAGATAAACGAAAACGTGTCCACACGAGAGTTGCATACCACTGTTAATTGTGGTCCTGAGCTGGAAAAGAGCCAGAGCTGTCGACTGGAGTAAAGATAAAGATATATCCACATAATAGATTACTGCCCACGATAAAGAACAATGAGCTACCCATGCATGTTCCTAATCCCAGCAATTTGGGAAGCTGAGGCAGGAGGTTCACAAGTTTTGGGCCAGCCTCAGCAATTTAGTAAGACCCTATCTCAAAATAAAAATAAAAGGGTGGGGGATGTAGTTCAGTGCTTGAGCACCCCTGGGTTCCATCTCAGTACTCCTGAAGGGGGGGATAATGAGCTCTTGAACACTTTATGGTAAGTGAAAGGAGGCAGACAGAAGTGAGCACACTCTGTATGATCCCACTTATGTGGAAATTCCAGAACAAACGCATCTCAACTGGCAGAAAGCAGATCAGGGATTTCACAGGATTTGGGCTCAGGGTGAGGGGGACGGGTGAAGTCTGGGTGGAGGCGGGAATTGTTCTCAGTGCTTTTATTGGGACGGTGCTTATACACAAGAACATATTTGCCCAGCTCACTGACTATTGTGCTGAGCGAGACGAGCCAGGAGGACCAATACTATACAATCCGCATATCTGTGCGGCCAGAGTAGTCAGGTTCAGAGACAGAGGGGAGAGCTGTGGCAGAGGGGCAGGGGAGGGAGAGCCGGGAGGCAGTGTTCAATGCGTGGAGTTTCAGGGTCAGATGATGAGAAAGTTCTGGAAATAGATAGGACTGGTGCTTGCACAGGGTGTGATAGACTCAATGCCACTTAAAAATAGTTAAAATGGGGCCGGGGCTGGGGCTCAGTGGCAGAGCACTTGCCTAGCATGCATGAGGAGCTGGGTTCGATTCCCAGCACCATATAAAAATGAATAAATTAAAGATATTGTGTCCAACTACACTGAAGTCCCGAAAAGCAAAAAATAAGAAATAAAAAATAACAGTTAAAGTGACAAACTTCATATTATGTACATTTACCACAATGAAAAAAATCTTAAAATAAAAACCTTTATCAGACTGTATACTTTGTGTGTGTGTGTGTGTGTGTGTGTGTGTGTGTGTGTGTTACTGGGCACTGAACCTTGAACCCATCCTGAGCCGGAGTCACTGAGTTGCCACACTGTCCTTGAATTTGTGGTTGTCGTGTGGCACGTCTCTCTGGCAGCCTGGGTGTGCCGCGCTTGGAGGCGGCGACACTGTGTGCGGAGAGAACACAGAGCTCGGTTCAAATCCTGCCTCTGCCAGTTACTAGTGTCCTAAGCTCCACCGGACCTCAGTGTCCTCCTAAATCAACGGGCCTCGGGCCGGGACTAATCTCAAGTTCAACGTGCGAACACCCCTGGGGGCAAATGGTGGGCCGTCGGTGGTTGTCACGGTCACGGACGCTGCGGGCTGCGGGGGGCGCACCAGGCCGCTGGCCGCGAGGTGGCGCCCGGCGGGCTCCTCCAGCCAGCAGCCGCTGCGGGGCGGTGGACAGGGCTCCGGGAGGGGGACGAGGGGGACGGGGTGCAGGCAGGGCGGAGGCTGCGCGGGAGACGGCGTCCCAGGGTCGCACCCTCGCGCCCAGCGATCTAGAGCAGGCAGCGGGAGGGGAGGGTCCTCCACCGGACACTTGGGCGGCGATCGGTCCCGCGGAGGGTCTTTCAAAGCTCACGGTGGTTGGGCAGCCCTGGAAGGTCCCCGGCCCTGGCCACCGCGGATGCTTCCCTAAGCCCACTTTGCAGATAGGAAGACCGAGGCGCGCGGCGTTCCGTGACCTCAGCGGCTCCGCAGTGGACAGCCGAGAGGGGGCGGTCGGCCCTCTGCTCCCGCCCCGGCTGCCCCCGTGATCCCACCCCCAACAGTCCTCCCTCCCGGGCGCTGGACCTCCCCGCCCCCGCTCCCGGTTTCCTTGTCAAAACTTCCTGCCTCGCGCGGCCCAGTCCCCACCCCCTTCCTGCCCGCGCCCCCAGCGCCCCTCCCCGCCCCCGCTCCCGGTTTCCTTGTCAAAACTTCCTGCCTCGCGCGGCCCAGTCCCCACCCCCTTCCTGCCCGCGCCCCCAGCGCCCCTCCCCGCCCGCCCTGCGACGGCCAGCGGCTCCCAGCCGCTCCCGCTGGAGCCTGGGGCTCGGCCGCGACCCTCGCCAGCCTCAGACGCTCGGTCCTCCTCCCCACCAGGACGGCGGACAGACGGGGTCCCCGAGGCAGGTGAGTGACGGGCGGGGGAGGCCTGATGGCCGAGGGCCACCTGCCCCAGGGAAAGGGCATGTGGACTCCGAGGCCCCCTCCCAGGCTGCAGACCCCTGGGCGGACAGTGGGGAAAGAAGGGGGAGGCCGTGGAGAGGGGCTCAGGAGCTGATGGGGGCGTCCACTCTAATGAAACGCAAGTGGAAAGAAATGCTGTCCAGACCAATCCTAAGGGGACTTGGGGGACCAGGGACAGTCCCCGGTCTCTGTCTGGGGGTAGCAGGTCCTCTCCTTTGCTCAAGAGAAGTGCAGCCCTGAGAGCCCCACACAGCAGTGGAGGCCACCTGGGTCGGAATCTGGAATCTGTGCCTCTGTTGCCCATTTCTAAAGGGGACAGTGACAGTAGTGCCGACCCCACAGGGTTGTGAGGGTGAGATGAAGCGTCTCCCACTCAGGACAGAGACTGCTGGCCGCTGTGGCGGTGTACACCTGTAGTCTGAGTAGGCTGAGGCGGGAGGATGGCAAGTTTGAGGCCATCCTGAACAACTTGGTGAAACCTTGTCCCCAAACTAAAAGTAAAAAGGTCTGGGGAGTAGCTCAGTGGTGGGGTTTCAATTCCCAGTGTAGCGATAAATAAATACCCAGCTCCTCCTCCTCCTCTCCCGCTTCTTCTTCATCCCCTCTCCTCCTCTTCCTCTTTTTGGCACTGGGGATTGAACCCAGGGAGGCTCGACCTCTGAGCCACTCCTCAGTCTTTTTTATTTTTTTATTTTGATTCTGGTTCTCACTCAGTTGCTCAGGCTGGCCTCAAACTTGTGATTCTCCTGCTTCGGCCTCCCGAGGAGCTGAGGCCCCTCTGATGGGCTCACCATTTATTATCAGTGCTGCGCTTCTCCCAGCAGGGAGAAATGCCCAAGGGGTGCAGGGCAGGGACGAGGTTTGAAGATCCCAGACTGTCACCTCTTTGCCACCCCTGAGGACTTGGAAGTCCCTCGGTGGAGGAATCTGGAGCCTCGGGAGCTCCTGGGAGGATGACCGGGGCAGAGCTGGAGCCAGGGGTAGGGGTGGTGAGCGGTGGCGTGGTCCCCAGGCCCCAGCAAAGCCGTCCCTCACCTCCTGCCCCCATTTCTAGCTCCCAGTTGTGCGCTCTGGGCTCTTCTGCTCTGGCCTTTAGGAATGGCCTCTCCCGGGCTGGACCGTGACCCCAGTCCCCTGGGATGGGAACAGCTTGTGCTGGGCTGAAGTTCCCAGGCTCAGCCAGGCCTCCGCTCCTCCAGGGAGGACTGGACAAGGGTCAGCTCTTAACCCCGGACCACGCTGGGCTCTGGGGGGTCGGGAGGCTGTCCTCGGAACCCCGCCCCTGCCGACCCTCTGGGTTAGCGCCCTTGGGTGCACGCCTGCCCTCTGGTCTCTCCAGTCCCTCCCAGCCTCTGCTCTCGGGCTTCGGAGGCTTCCCAGCGGCCATATCTCCCTGCAGCTGGGTCAGACAGACGCGCCTTCCTTTTTCCCTCTGCTGGGAGCGGAGGGGAGGGTTGGCATCTGTTTCCCCACTCCACCCCCGTTCCCTATCAGGCTTCCCCAGGAGAGGAAGCTTGCTCCCCAGGCAGCCCCAGGCACCCGCGGGAAACCTGGAGAGGGAGAGAGCGCTGCTGCCTCCCGCCATCGCACATACCGCCAGGCAGGGGGCTGAGGCCAGGCAGGGCCTCCAAGACCTCCCAGCCTCTCCTCTGGGGAGGGTGGTGGCTCCTGGCACCTAACCCAGGGGGAGAGGCCGGCATGAAAGGGAAGAAGGCAGAGAGAAGAGGAGAGAGAGAAGACAGACATAAATATCCAAACAGAGGCACATGCTCAGGGGCAGAGACAGAGGCGTGGACTCAGGGCAACAAGACCCGCAGGGCCCAGAAGACACAGCAGAGATGCAGCCCTAGAACCCAACGTAGTAAACCTAGTTCAAACCCCGCCCTACTCCAGGTTGGCTGTGTGGCTTTGGTCAAATTACTTAACCCTTCTGGGATTCCCCGCCTTCCTCTCCTGGATGATGGATTGATTGCTTCCTTTGTTTTTCTTTTCTTCTGGGGATTGAACCCAGGGACACTCTACCACTGAGCTACCTCCCCAGCTCTTTTTATTTTTAAGACAGGGTCTCACTTGTTGCTGAGGCTGGCCTTGAACTTGTGATTCTCCTGAGAGTTGCTGGGTGACAGCTGAGCACCACCTTTGGGTTATTTAGCTCTAAAACGGGTGGCATACTCACACCTGCTGTATACCATTGTCAAGAAAAGTAAAAGGAAGCATCTAGCCCGAGGGGCACATTTATCCAGAGTGGCAATTACCCACCTGCACGTGGCAAGGGGGGGGGTCCTAAGAGAAACCCCCCTGTGGGGGCCCAGGCCCCTGCTGCGGTCACCCACCCCGCCCTATGTAGCGGCATCTGGGTTCTAGAGGTGTGAACAGTGAGGGGCATTGTCCGGGGCCTGGAGGCTGAGGGTGAGGGTTTGAGCCACGTGCCACACGCCCTGCCTCCAGGTGACTCAGTGCCTTGCACCACATACTCATCCCGGAGGAACTTGGAGGCCAGCCCTGAGGAACTCCTGCCCGAGGTCACCGAGGGGCAGGTCTGGAGCGTTCTTTTGTCTAATAATGATGGAATTCTTTCTGAATTCCACCTTTCATCTTCTGGCCAACGTATACCTCACTGTCTTTTTGGTACCGAGGATTGAACCCTGGGGCGATCTATCACTGAGCCACATTCCCAGACAGTTTTAGTTTTGCTAAAATTTTGAGACAGAGTCTCACTCAGCTGCTTAGGGCCTCACTAAGTTGCCTGGTTGGCCTCGAATTTGTGACCCCCTCCTGCCTCAACCTCCCCAATTGCTGGGGTTACAGGGTGTGACCACCCAGCCTCTTCACACAAATGTTTAGTTGCTACTTGCCTGGATCTGGGCACCCAGCAGGTCGGTGCTGGTGGGTGCCTGGGATGCGGTGGTGAAGAAGACTGAGAAGCGTCCTGTCCCCAGGGAGCCATAGCACAGTGGACAGACAGACCTCAATAAAAACATTGTGGTAAACTAGGTGCAGGGCACCTACTTATAATCCCAGTGATTCAGGAGGCTGAGGCAGGAGGATCACAAATTCGAGGCTGGCCTGGGCAATTAGGCAATAAAAATTAAAAAGGGCTGATAAGAAATTAAGAAGTAGCATAGTGGTGGCGGGCACCTGAATTCCATGCCCAGCCCTGCAGACGCCAACAGAACAAAACCGGTCATGGCTGGGATGGGGTGTGGCTCAGTGGCGGGGCATTTGCCTAGTGTATATGAGATCCTGGGCTTGAACCCAGCACCACAAGCAAAATCCACCATGGCTCCTAGGATGGGAGCTGGGAGGAGACATCAGCCCACGAACAGAGCTCGGAGAGGAGAGAGATCTGCAAGGCAGTGTGTGTGTGTGTGTGTGTGTGTGTGTGTGTGTGTGTGCATGCGTGCGTGCACACGCAAGTTCCTGAGGATCGAACCCAGGGCCTCATGCATGCTAGGCAAATGCTCTACCATGAGCCACGTCCCCAGCCCTGAGGGACTGCAGCCTGGCGCAAAAGCAGCTGCCACAGGTGGGATTTATCCTTCAGTCACTCAGTCCCCAGCCCTGGGTGCGCCAGGCGGTGAACTCCTAGGGGGGCTGGGTTATTTCCACCTGCCCCTAGTGCAGACTTTGGTGAGGTTTGGAGAAGTGTCTGGTTTGGAGCCAGCCACAGGGCACAGCTAGGGGACAAGGCTCCAGGGATCCTCTGGACTGCAGGGTCCATGTTGGTCGGGAGCCTACAAGAAGGCCTTGAGCGTGGGGGGGAACGGAGGAGGTTTGAGCCAGTGAAGGTGGGGGTCTCCTTGAAGAGGCTGGGGAGGACCTGGGCATTCAGGGGGCAGTGGGGACATTGCATAAAGGTCCCTGTGTGGTGAGAGGCGTGTGGGAGCCGCATGCTGTCCAGTGTGTTGGGAGCAGAGAGCTAGACCATAAAGCTGGACCCTGGGCTGCCTTTCCTGTGATGGGAGCCTCGGAAGGTGGTAGAGGGAGGCAGTGGCCAGCATAGCGTGGTCCTTTCTTAAGATGATCTAGGAGTGGCGGTGAGCAGGGTGGGCCAGAGGTCCTCGCCTTTGGGCAAGTCATCTGACCTGTGAGACCCGGACAACAATCACCAGCACCTTCCTGGGTGGTGGCGAGGGTTGGGACTGGCACTGGCGCCAACCTCCAATAGATGCTTGGTGAATCAGAATCCCTGCAATTTCCTGATGAGTAAACAGGTCAGACTGGGGACCCTCGAGCTTCTGTTTCCTGAGCCACCGAGAACACAAGGCCAGCTCTGGAGCCCTGCTGCCTCCCGCCGGCCTCTGCACGCGCGGGCTTCCTGTTCCTCCATCCGCCAGACAGGCCTGGCGTGCAGAGCGCCCAGCCCGGCTGGACACGGGAGGAGCACTGTGCTTGTGTGTATGGCGGTGTGCATGTGGGGACTGGGTGGCGTGGGGCCCGGAGCAGCCTGGGCAAAGCAAAAGCCAGGTACTAAGCAGCTCAGTGAGACCCTGTCTCTAAATAAGACACAAAATAGGGCTGGGGGTGTGGCTCAGTGGTTAGTGCCCTGAGTTCAATCCCCGGTAACCTCCACCCTCCAAAAAAGGCAAAGAGCCTGAGTCTCTGTTCCAGAGTGGTCACCGGAATCGTGACCCCAACTTGCCAGATCCTGGGAGATGTGAGGGGCCTCCTTTATGCAGACGAGTTTGAGGCTCAGCCGGCTTGAGTGGTGTAACCGGGGTCACGAAGCTTGTGAGGGACACAGACAGGACGAGGACTTTTGGACGACAAGGTGGGGCGGGGGAGAGGCAGAGAAGAGGGAGGGGGGAGTGGGCAGGGGGCTGGGGGAGCAGGATCCCGGAATCCTGCCTCTCAACTGTCTCTGGCTTCAAGCTGCCCCTGGCCGGCAGCCCATCATTCTGGGGGATCAGGTTCTCGGGGAGCCTGGCCCCCTCCTCCCACTTCCTTTCTCTGCATCAGCATTTTCAGCTCCGTTCTGTTCCCGGATCATCCTGGGGGTTCTTCAGAAAAAAAAAAAAAAATAGAGATAGTTTTTCCTGGAATTAATACCCAGGGGGCATAACAGCACCAAAATGGGTGGGGGAGCGGGGGCCACGCTGGGCGCCCGAGCAGGAGGGGCATGGAGGGTGTCATTGAGGGGACAGTCCACGTTAGGGAGCTGTACATACCATCTATTGGTTCCAAGTACGTTCTCTATATCATCTCATTCAGTCTGCACCACAGCCCTGCAGAGGAAGTACTATTAGCCCGTTTTATAGACCAAGCCGGAGTTGACACCTTATGTTGGAAACAGGAAGAGAGCAGCAGAGGGACACAGAGCTCCGAGGTCATCCTGTGCTCCATGTTTCCCAGAGCTGGAAGGGAGCCCATGGGGAAGTCCCTCCTGCTGTGTCCACTCCATCGGCCCCACTTGCTGCTTTCTATGGACGGTAGTGCTTTTGCTGCACGGCCTGTAATCCCAGGTGAGCGGAGAGGAGCTCAAGTTCAAGGCCAGCTTCAGAAACCTGGCAAAACCCTGACCCCAAATGAAAAAGATTAAAAGTGCTGGGGGGGTGACTCCAGTGTTAGATGTCCCTGGGTCCAGTGCTGCAGGGGAAGAGAGAGGGAGGGAGGGGGAGGACCCCCATGCACAGGAACTCCAGCCTGCTCCCAGAGGCCCCAGACTCCTTTTCCTTCTCTCTGGGGCACAGTAAGGATGGAGGGGCTCCCCACGGGTGGGGGACTGGAAGAGCGGGGAGGGGAGCTGGGTTGGGCCCGCGTGGGCTGGCAGGCTGTGGGCAGGGACTGGGACCTCAGGGCTGGCTGGGAGCCCAGCCGATTTGCATGTGGAGGTGGAGGAGACAGAAGTGGCTCTTGACAGCGCACACACTGCAGTTCCCACGCCTCTGATCCCCTTCTCCTGGCAGCCCCCACCCCCTCCCCTTCTCCTGTCCAACCCCCTGCCAGCTCCCCACTCCCACAGCTGGGGCTATGAAAAAGGAGACACAGAGCTTTCCGTGTCTCGCCTTAGGAAAGACCTGAACCATCTGCCAGAAGCCTGGGGTTGGATCCCGGCTCTGATGCTAGTGGCTGTGTGGCCTTGGGCAGGTTTCTTACCCCTGCTGGGCCTGCTTCCTCATCCCTAAAGTCAACAGCAGTACATACCACCAAAGGGGGCAAGCTTTATTTTAAAATCTATTTAGTACTGGGGATGGAACCCAGGGGCACTCTACCACTGAGTGCACCCCCAGAGCCACTTTTTTTTTTTTTTTTTTGGTACTGGGGATTGAACCCAGGGTGCTTAACCACGGAGCCACATCCCTAGATCTTTTTACTTTTTATTTAGAGACAGGTTGCTTAGGACTTGCCAAGTTACTGAGGCAGGCTTTGAACTCACAATCCCCCTGCCTCGGCCTCCCCAGCCACTGAGATTACAGATATGTGCCACCATGTCTGGCTCCCAGATTTTTAAAGATTATTTATTTATTTATTATTTTGGGGGTACCGGGGATTGCACTCAGGGGCACTCAACCACTGAGCCACATCCCCAGCGCTATTTTGTATTTTATTTAGAGACAGGGTTTCTCTGAGTTGCTTAGCACCTCACTTTTGCTGAGGCTGGCTTTGAACTCTCAACCCTCTTGCCTCTGCCTCCCAAGCTGCTGGGATTACAGACATGCTCTACCACGTCCGGTCCCTTTTTATTTTTTGAGACAGGGTCTCACTAAGTTGCCTTGAACTTGCGATCCTCCTGCCTCTGCCTCCCCAGTGGCTGGATGACTGCTTTAAATGTGATGATTCAGGCAAATCGCTCAGCACCCTGCCTGTCCCCACACAGGAAAGGATACATGGGGTCACCTTTGGTTTTGTTATGAGACCGGGTGTTCGGACCACCAAACCAGAGAGAGGTCTAGTGGACGATGGGGTTGAGTAGGGGAGGGGCTCTGTGGGGGAGGAAGGGGGGCCTGCAGTGGGCAGTGTACTGAGGCCCCCAGGACAGAGCAGGCAGGGAGCTGGCGTTGGGTGGCGAACCCCCTGAGGGATGTGTGGTCACACCAGGCCCAATGCTGCCCAGGCTGGAAGGGGGCTGGGGGAGCCTGGGACAGGACCTCAGGTGCCCCAGTCCCTGGGAGCAAAGGCTCCAGTGGAACCCGCTCTGGGCTCTGGTCTGGCCTGTGCTCCCTCCTCAGGGCTGGGAAGGTTTCGGCCAAGCCCTTCCTCTCCTTGCCAGGACCCCCATCTCCCCCTGCTCTCCCCCGTGGCCACCCACTGGCCTCCTTTGACACCACCTTGGCTCCCAGCCCTGGGCTCGGAAGCTGATTTCTCCCCCGCACTCAGCCCCACCCCGAAGACCTTGGAGAAGCAGATCTGGCCACCTGTGGCCAGCCAACCTCCCAGTCGGCTCCCAGCCACCCTGCTCCATGCCGCGTCCTCTGTGTGTCCATGTCACAGCCCCCAGGTGGACTGTTTCTTCAGGGACACTGGCTGGGGGCTAGGGCTGATGTGAACAGGGAAGGACTTTTCTGGACTTGGCCGCTCGGCTACATGTACCTCACCTTAAGTCCTTCCTTCCTTGGGCTTTGTCCACCCCACCCCCCATGGCTCTGGGGACAAATTCAGGGCAGGGGTTAAGTCCAGGGAGGCCCTATATGGCTTAGGAGGTGAGGGTTACTAGGGGACAGGGGTGACATCCTGGCTCCAGATAGATTGAGCTCCAATCTGAGGACAGGAGCCCTGTCCAGGGCCAGGGCTGGGATGTGAAGACCAAGACAGAGTGGAGATGTGTGGAGGGTTAAGGGACCTGTCCACGGGGACCTGCCTGCTGAGAACCCCTGGGGGACATGGGGAGAAGGTCAGCTGATACTGGCCAGACTGAGCCCTGGAGGGGGGCGCTGGAGAGAAGGGACAGTTTGGGGATGTGTAGGGTGATGTAGGTGCCCTGGGTGGACAGTGAGGGACATCTGACTATGGCCTGGGGGTTGGGCACAGGTCCGATTCCCCCACCTGAGTGGGCCACAGTGCCACTAGAAGGCCAGCCCTGGCCCTGCCCCGTGCTCCACCCTCACGCCAGGGTGGTGGGCGATGCAGTGTCCCCACCCCCACCCCATGGCCCCTGTCTCCCACATTCCCCGCCAGGCTCTATTTCCTGTTTTCAGGCTCTACATCCCCAGTGCTGGGATCTCCCTGGACATCCTCTGCCCACCCACTCCTCCCTGCCAGGTTCCTACCAGGCCGCTGCCCCATCTGAAATCCGTGGGCCCCACCGGGTGAGCTTCTTGGGGACCGAGGGAGGATGGGAAAAGCACCGGGAAGGCTAAGAGGTGGACCCTGGCCCTGGGGGAGGTGTGGCGGGGCAAGGTGACCTGTGTGAGAGGGGAGGGTGGAAATTGGCCCTGCAGGGTGGGAACTGGGAGCTGGGGGCCCTGCTCTAGATGAGGATGAGGTCCGCCTGCTGGCGGATGGGATCGGGAGGAGCAGGGTTAAGTGGAGGCCTAACCAGACCCAGACCTGCAGGGAAGGGGCCTCGTGACTGGAGCCGAGCAGGCTGTGGGGTCCCTGGAAGTGTGTGGGTGGGGGGCAAGGGGAGGAGCCGGCAGCAGGCATTCCAGAGATACTCAGGGGGGCAGGGGGCCTGCAACCGTGACCTTTCTTCTTGGGAAAATTATAAGCAGATGTTGGAGCCTCAGGGAGTCAGGGCAAGTTTTAGGAACACGGCAAACGGATTCAGAAAGCAGTTCTCCCCGGTTGAGGAGCCCAGAGAGCAGATCCATCTGAAGTCCTGATCCTCTTCCAACCCACTGGGCGAGGCCAGGGTGGTGGAGATGGAAGGGAGCCTGTTTCCCAGTGATGGCCGGGCTGTCGGAGGAGGGGGGCTCAGCTCTCCCCTGATCGGAGGCCAGCGTGGGGATCTCCTGGGTTTAATGCCTAGAGTTGGGGGCAGGGAATTGGCCTTGGTGAGGTGGTGCCCTGGGTAGACTGTGAGGGGCATCTGGCTATGACCTGGGGACTAGGGCACAGGTCTGATTCCCCCATCTAAGTGGGCCCAGTGGTATAAATACCCCTGCTCCCCATGCCTGAATTCAAGCTACTAAGGGGACATCACTGAACTTGGAGTTGGGAAGAGATGCACATAATGGCCTCTCTGAGCCCCTGAGGCCCTGTCTCCAGCACACTGAGGGTCTTAAGGTCACCTGGGCCCAGCCCCACTCCCACCCCACATAGCAGGAACCCCCTGACTACATTTCATCCCAATGGTTTGGCTTCCACCTGCACATATCCAAGGATGGGGAGCTTACCATCGGGGTAGCCAGTTCCATTACTCAATTGCTCCCGCTGTTGGAAATCTCTCTCTGAGCCCATCTGCATCCTAGAACTTCCCCTCTGTGGTTCCAGTCTCATATCTTGGTCCCGATAACAAAGTGGTCCGGTGTGCACTGGGCTAGGGGCTGGGGAATCAGACAGAGGGCCCTGGGTCCTCGCCTCTGGAGGTCATGATCAGGGAACAGGCATGAGAATGGCCGTGTCTGGGTGAATGGTCCTGGGGGCTCTAGCAGAGATGGGTGGGGCAGTGGGCCAGTGAGGGTCAGGGAGCCGAGCAGAAAAGAATGGGTGGCATTTGTGCCAGGCCGTGGAAGTTGAGTGCTTCAGGGAGAACGAGGGCTGGGGGAAGCAAATGATGAGCTAAGACCTGGAGGCCTGGGTGCGGTCCCACCCAGGAGTAGGATCCAGGGGAACTGGAGCCCTGCAGGCACAGGGCCAGAGGCCCAGAGGCGACCGGCTGGCTCTCCTGCATGCCCACTGCCCGGATCTCTGCAGACGCTGTCCCCCAGGCCGCTACTGTGCCCTCTCCTGCTGACACTGGCTCTGATGCAGGCTCTGCAATGTTGCCACCTCTGCGGACCCTCCTTCTCCTGGCCCTAGGCCTGGGACTGGCCAGGACGCTCAGCTCCAGTGATCCCAATGCCTGCAGCTTCTGGGAAAGGTGAGGGGCTCTGTGCCTTTTAATACCAAGCCCAAGCCCCCTGGTGGTCCCTAAAGCTCCCTGGTTCCTGCCTTCTCTTTCTGTTTCTGCTCTCTCTGCTCCCCTCTGTGGCCTGACTCGGACCCCTTCCCCATCTCTGACCTCACCTCAGTCTCATTTGTCCCCTCTCAGACTCTGCCCTTTCCTTATTCCCTCCCTGGGTCCCCGTGGGAGGTCCGCGACAGGACGGGGAGCAGGGGGGAGCTTTTCACTGTGGACCAAGCAGAGGGCTGACCCTGGGGAATGAAGAGGGACAAGGCTGGGAAACAAGAGCCAGGGCAGAATTTAGCCAACACCATCAGCTGGGCCGGCAGCTCAGGCCCAGCTCGGTCCTCCCTTATAAGGAGGGGGAGGAGAGATAAAGGGTCCATGGGTCTCATCCAATAGGGTGTCAGGGGAGCTCTGATGGGCGGGGCCCCAGGAATATTCCAAGTCTGGGAGGAGCCTCTGCATGTGAGAGGAGGGGCAGGGTGAAGGGTCCCATTCTTGGTTTGGGGAGCAAGCCTAAATGTTGGGGTGTTGATTCCTACTATGGCCAAGCCCTGGCCCCCGATTCCCTCCTTGCCTTGCCCCCTGACCTGTCCTTCCTGCCAGCTTCACTACGACCACCAAGGAGTCGCACTCCCGCCCGTTCAGCCTCCACCCCTCGGAGCCCTGCGACAGGCCCTGGGAGCGCCCCCAAACCTGCTCCCAGCCCACGTGAGTGCCCCTCTCCTCCACAGGCAGGTGGCCTGCCCGGGTCTCTGCCCTGGTCTGGCCCCTGCCCCCACCCCCACACCCCTATTCTCTTCTTAGAACCTTTAGGGTTCAGAGGACACTTCTGGCCTCAAGGCACCCACTCATTCCCAGCAGGGCGCGCTGTGGTCTGTGCCGAGTGTGTCTGGGCCATAGATGTGCACGCGTGTCCGTGCGAGTGTGTGGTGTGTTGCCTTGTGGGGGGAGGGGCAAGGAGGAAACATTCGAGGCTCCCCACCTCCAAGTGCTGCCCCGGGGTGAGGGTGGGCAGCCTGGCCTCCGCGGGTGGGCGCTTTGAGGGTCACCTCCTGGGTTTCCCCAGGGTCGTCTACCGGACTGTGTACCGGCAGGTGGTCAAGATGGGCCACCGCCCGCGCCTGCAGTGCTGCCAGGGCTTCTACGAGAGCAGCGGGATCTGTGTCCGTGAGTCTGTGTTGGCCAGGGCAGTCCAGAATGGGAGGGCGCTGAGCTGACCCTTCTGGATTCTTCTCTGTTCCCACCGGGTGGGGCTACTCCTGTGCCCCTTCAAGTATCCCTCTGTGCCAGCCTCCAGGCAGGAGGTGACAGGCCCAGCAGAGACTGTCTGGAGATGGAGGCTGGGTTTGCCTTGCCCTGGAGGCTGTTCATCTTCTGGCTACACTGGCAAGACACAGAGCTGGACTTCCAGTTTCAACCTAGCCAAGGAGCTTAGGGTCCCCAGAGTCTTGAGTGGCACCTCGCCTCGTTGTTACTTGACACCTTTATCTCCAGTGGACCTCTCTGTCTGTCCAAACCCCTGAGCAAGCTCTCTCTGCATCTCTGTCTCAGAGCTCTCCTTCTGTCTCTGTGTTTCTCATTGTGTCTCAGGGCCTGGTCTCTGGGTCCTTCTCTGTCTCTTTCTGTTGCTATCTAGCTCTGACTTGTCACCATTCAGTCTCTCCTGCCTGCCTCTGCCCCAGCACCCTGTACCCCCCAGACTGGAACCTGCCCTCCTCTTTCCCCACTTCCCTCAGCCCCAACCTACCACCAGCCCCTGCAGACACCCCTTCCCAGCCTGGCCCAGCCCCGGCCTTGGCCCCTACCCTCTCTCTGACATCATCCAGGTCCAGACCCCACCTAAAGACCCCCACCCATTTTCCCAACAAAATTTTAGAAATTTTCACAAAAAGGGACTGGGGAGCCAGAGCCCTGGCATCTTGTCATGTTCTGCCACTGAGTTGCTGCTCTCAGTCCTTCTTTATCCTAGGACAGAACTGGTGGACTATGCATGCCCATAATCCCAGTAATTTGGGAAGCTGAGGCAGCAGGATCTCAAATTCAAAGCCAGCTTCATTGACTTAGTGAGACCCTGACTCAACATTTAAAAATAATAAACAGAAAGGTCTGGGACTGCAGCTCAGTGTTAGAGCACCCCTGGGTTTAACTCCCAGTACCCCCTCCCACACACAGCACAAAAACAAAACAAACACACAAACAAAAAAACACAAATTGGTGCTTAGAGAAGTGCAGGCCCCTGGTAAGGGAGGAAGATGCGTTGGGAGGAAGGTTCAGAGATGAAAGTTGGGAAGGGCAGGGGGAGAGGCATCTTCTCATCACCCTCATCTCTGCCTCAGCGCTCTGTGCCCAGGAGTGTGTCCATGGCCGCTGTGTGGCGCCCAACCAGTGCCAGTGTGCACCAGGCTGGAGGGGTGACGATTGCTCCAGCGGTGAGTGGCTGGTAACCTCAGGGATGGCCTCCCTACCCGGACACAGGTGCTTTGGACCCCAGGGCAATTCCTGGGAGTCTTTCTGCCTTTTCTGGAGCTGTGGTAGAGGGGATGGGTGTGTGGGGCCCAGGGACACACAGGGCTAGGCTGGGGAGGAGCGTGGCCCCCCGTGATTCCCTTCCATCCTCCTATACCACAGAGTGTGGCCCCGCGGTGTGGGGGCCTCGGTGTGATAAGCCCTGCGGCTGTGGCAACAGCAGCTCCTGTAACCCCAAGAGCGGGGTATGTTCTTGCCCACCTGGCCTGCAGCCTCCCAACTGCCTTCGGCCTTGTGCCCCTGGCTACTATGGCCCTGCCTGCCGGTTCAGCTGCCAGTGTCACGGGGCACCCTGCAATCCCCAGACCGGAGCCTGCTTCTGCCCTCCAGGGAGAACAGGGCCCAGGTGGGTAATGTGGGGAACAACACACTGAGGGGGTCCCTGGCTCAGGACTGCACACACGTATACGGAGAGACTGGGGACTCAGAGTCCCAAAGCTGGGAGGGAAATTGGGAGGCCAGGATCCTAATCCCGGGTCTGCCACTCACTAGCTGAGCAACCTTTATCAGATTATTGACTCTTGGGGAGCTTGTCTTCCGACTGCACAGTGGGAGCAGAACTGTCCCTCTGGAGGGCCGCTGTGACCACAGCATGAGATAGCATGTGCGGGAAAGATGGACTTTGCAAGAAGCTGAGGCAGCTGGGGAGTCACAGCAGGGAGAAGGTGGGGTGGGGGGAGGACAGGGACTGCAGTAGGTCCTGGGGTCCCGCAGAAGGGCCAGCCTGAGAAGGAGAAGCGCATGAGCTTGGGGTGCATGAGAAGCAAATATGCACCCCAGCCTTTGGCTCTGGCTGCCTGCTGGTGCAGGGGTAACCCTGCTATTTCTAGACCCGGAAACCTTTGCTTTCTGCCTCCTGCAGTCCCTGGAGGGAAGGGGGTGGGTGGGACTCCCCAGCAGGGAACAGCAGGTGTGAATCAATGAGGCCCAGGACAGACTTTCCCCCAATCAGGGCCTGAGTACAGGTGACCAGCCTTGGAGGAAAGTGTGTGTGTGTGTGTGTGGGGGAGTGGATGCTGCTTTCTCTACCTGATCTCACCTGCTCTGATCTCACCTCTCTGATCTCACCTGCTCTGTCCTGCAGCTGTGATGTGTCCTGTCCCCAGGGCACGGCTGGCTTCTTCTGTCCCAGCACCTCTCCTTGCCAAAATGGGGGTATCTTCCAGGACCCCCAGGGCTCCTGCAGCTGCCCACCTGGCTGGATGGTATGAAGGGTGGGTCTGTGGTTATGGGGTGGGAATCTGAGGGGGTCCCTGGCTCCAGAGAGGGTGGGCTCTGGGGACCCTGGAAAAGTGTATGGCAATGAGGGTATCTAGGGGTCCTGTGGCCATGGGGAGCCATCTGGGTACCTGGGGCTCTGCCAACCTCTTACCCCCATAGGGCATCATCTGCTCCCTGCCCTGCCCAGAGGGCTTTCATGGACCCAACTGCTCCCAGGAATGTCTCTGCCACAATGGTGGCCTCTGCGACCGATTTACTGGACAGTGCCGCTGCGCTCCAGGCTACACAGGGGATCGGTTAGTGGCGGGGACACGCGTGGAAGCGGCGCGGGGAGAACCAGGAGGTGGGCGCAGCCAGATTCACTCAGTGTCGTGCTCAGGTGCCAGGAGGAGTGCCCAGTGGGCCGCTTTGGCCAGGACTGTGCTGAAACGTGCGACTGCGCCTCAGGCGCCCGCTGCTTCCCGGCCAACGGCGCGTGCCTGTGCGAGCACGGCTTCACCGGGGACCGCTGTGAGGAGCGCCTCTGTCCCGACGGCCGGTACGGCCTCGGATGTCAGTCATCCTGCACCTGCGACCCGGAGCACAGTCTCAGGTGGGCCGCGCACGCGATCAGAGGGCCAGGGAGCCAGAGGGAGAGGTCTTCGAGGATGGAGGGGCCCGAATGACGAACAGCGCCCGGGTGTGGCCAAGTGGGGCACAGATGGCACAGAAGGGAAAAGGGGAGACTCTGGGTGTCGGGGGCGCCCTGGGCACCCTTCCCTTCCCCAGCTCCGCTCTGGAGACACAGCTTCCCTACTCCGATGACCGTGCCACGTCCCCGCCTCCGCTCACAGCTGCCACCCGATGCACGGGGAGTGCTCCTGCCGCCCGGGCTGGGCCGGCCTCCACTGCAACGAGAGCTGCCCGCAGGACACGCACGGGCCGGGTTGCCAGGAGCACTGCCTCTGCCTGCACGGCGGCGTCTGCCTGGCCGACAGCGGCCTCTG